TGCTGAGCGTCGGCTGGGGGTGACGTGTGCGTACACCGCCACTGGGCTTTTCGGTGGAACCCCCTTTGACGAGGCCGCGGAATGCAATGCTGGGTGGGGAGACGCATGCGAACACTGCCATTGGGGCCTTCGGTAGAGCTCTTTCTGAATGTGGGGTTTGGGGGGGCGTATGCGAACGCCGCCAGTGGGCTTTCGTTGGAGCCTTCTGCGGGGTTGTGCTGTGTGGGGGAAACGCGCGCGAACACCGCCACTGAGGCCTTCGGTGGGGCTCCCTATGGGGCCGCGAAGGACTGTGCTGGGCGGGGGAAACGCATGCGAACACCGCCACTGGGGCCTTCGGTGGAGCCCCCCCCCCGCCCATGGGGCAGCGAAGCGCGGTGCTGGGTGGGGAAGACGCATGCGAACAACACCACTGGGCCTTTCGGAGCTTCGCATGGGATCAGGGAGCGCTGTGATGAGGGCGGGGGGGACTCATGCGAACACCGCCATTGGTGCCCTCGGTGGAGCTCCCTATTGGGCCACGAAGCGTTGTACTGAGTGGGGTGGGGGGATCATGCGAACACCGCCAGTGGGGCCTTCGGTGGAGCCCCTTGCGGGGCCACGGTGCTGCATTGGGCGGGGGAGGCGCATGCGAACGCCGCCACTGGGGCCTTCGATGGGGCTCCCTATGGGGCCACAGAAGAATACACTGAGTAGAGGAAATGCATGCGAACACCGCCACAGTTGCTCTCGGTGGAGCTCCGTATGGGGCTAGGTAGCATTGTGCTGCGTGGTGGAGACGTATGCGAACACCGCCATTGGGCCCTTCGGTGGATCTCCTTAGGGGGAAACGCTGCGCTGCGTGGGGGGGACGCATGCGAACACCGCCAGTGGGGCCTTCGATCGAGCTCCTGGTGGGGCCGCGAAGCGCTGTACTGAACGGGCGGATGCATGCGAACGCCGCCACTGAGGCCTCTGGTGGAAGTCCATATGGGGCCACGAAACGCTGCGCTGGGTGGGGGAGACGCATGCGAACACCGCCACTGGGGACGTCGCGGGGGAAACGCATGCGACCATTGCCGCTGGGGCCTTCGGTGGATCTCCCTATTGGGCCACGCAGCGCTGTACGAAGCGGGGGGCATGCGATCAACGCCAGTGGGGCCTTCGGTGGAGCTCCATATGGAGCCACGAAGAGCTGTACTGAGCGGGGGGGGCGCATGCGAACACAGCCAGTGAGGCCTCCGGTGGAACCCCCAATGGGGCCACGAAACGCTGTATTGTGTGTGGGGGAGCGCATGCAAACACCGCTACTGGGGCTTTCGGTGGAGCACCCTGCAGGACCACGAAAGGTGTGAGGGGTGTGCCGGCATGCGTGGCGATGATGGTGACGATAACAGCGATGATGCTGATGCTGGAGATGATGAGAATTATGCTGGTGTTATGACGGTGATTATGATGATGATGATGATGAAGAAGAAGAAGAATAAGAAGAAGAATAAGAAGACGAAGAAGAAGAAGAAGAAGATGATGATGATGATGATGATGATGATGATGATGATGATGATGATGATAATGATGATAATGATGATGATGACCATGATGGTGATGATGACGGCGATTCTGATGGTTACGACAAAGACGGCAATGATGACGATGCCAATGATGTCGGAAAAAGAGGATGTGTTGGGGGAGGAAGGAGAGGAAGAGAAAGGAGGAGAACGTGGGGCGCTGCCGCTTCAAAACGAGGACCCAAAGCCACAACATGACCGAGAAAAGAACGTAGGGTCCGTGAGGATTTCAAATCGAATGTTCCGTAGCGTCCCGGAAACCTTTTTGTAACATCAGATGGTTGCGCAAATCGTTCTTCAATCCAATCATGTGTCCTCGTTCTTCCAGCTTCGTCACAATACCATCGGTTTTCCGGCAACTGAGCGAGCCCTTCACGCGCGCGCGTCGAGATCATTCGAACGCCGTTGCGCGCGTGCTGGGAGGGGGGGGGTCCTGGTCCCTGTCAATGGTACCATGCGGGACATTCGCGCCCGTCGGCCGCGCGCGTACGTCGAAATCCGACCAAAAGCTTCATGACCGATACGGGGACACCATCACCGCAATAGAAGTGATCAACATCGGCGACGTCGTTGGCCGTGCCGTCGTCATCGCCCAACATCGCTACTATCATCGTCGTGTCAACAAGTGCTGACGTTGCCATGATAACGCGCCCGCCCGAGTCACCGATTCGCACCGAAGCGCCTGCAGGTCAGCGCCGCCTGCGAAACGCGCTGGGAAGCCCTCGGCAATCACGCCATCACGGCCGCGACCGTCGCGCCAAACTAGCTGGCCGCACTGCCCGCGAGCCTGCGCGCGCCCGCGCGGCCGCAGCGATGCGTCAGCCAGCGCCACGCGGTCTTCGCAATCACCGCCGCATGGGCTTTGCAGGCCAAATTGCGGGTGGGTGGGTGGGTGGGATGATTGCGCAAGCAGTGGAGTTGACAATGTCAAGTTCGGCAGGGCGAATTGCGCCGCATAGGTTGCACCGCACAGATTGCACCACATAGTCTAGGTTGTGCAATGCATGTGCTACATTTACGTGGTGCATTATACGTGTTGCAATCTACGTTGTACAATATATGTGGTGAACTCTAGCGGCGGCGACGGGAAGCGACAGCGGTGACGGGCGGCGAACGCGACAACACAGCCGCCAGGCCACACAACGGCGACGGGGCGGCGACGGGGCGACGACGGCGGCCACACAGCCGCCAGACCGCCACACGAGCCCAGTTCCTCAGGGAAGAAATAAAAACCCTGAGTGCAAGCACTGTTCAGGGAACAGAAGTGGCAGCAGGGAGAACGGAGCGAGGTGGAGCGAGATGCAGGGCGACGGCAAGCGGCCGCCCCGAGGTGGAGGAAAGGGTTACCAGCCTGGAACATATCCCTATCCCTAAGCTGGGCTTCGCCTCATCGCGGTGCCAATCTTAGGGATTCCCTCATTTTTTGAGGGCGCATCCCTAAGATGGTCATCGCTTTTTGGCGTGTCAATCTTGGGGGTAAGGATAAGTTCGAGGCTGGTGAGTGGAGCGGGATGGAGGGCGACGGCAAGCGGCCGCCCCGAGGTGGAGGAAAGGGGGAGTCCTTTGCTACAGGCGTCGTGAAGACAAGCACGACCAGCGTCTTCTGCTCGCCTCGGGCCCTGGGGCCAGGACGGCTCGATCTGGCTCGAGACATGTTACCAGCCTGGAACATATCCCTATCCCTATGCTGGGCACCTCCTCATCACGATGCCAATCTTCGGAATTCCCTTATTTTTGGGGGGCGAATTCTAAGATTGTCATCGCCTTTTGGCGTGTCAATCTTAGGGGTAGGGATACGTTCGAGGCTGGTAAACATGGGGGGAACTTTCACGCTGTGCCGTCCTGCGTAGCCCGGATTCGTTTCTCGGTAGTCGGATGCACGCAAAATTGACCCTAAGCAATAGTGACCTTTGGTCCGCAGCTTTAGGGGCGCTGGGGGGGCCAAACCCGAGCGCGCAAGACGCTGCTGTCGCATCGCGTTCGCATTGTGCCCGCAATCAAGGTCACTCTGGCGAAACGTCACTGCTACGTGCAGCCGAGGTAGCTACGCTGACTGACTGGACTGAACTGGCCGCGCCTGCTAGCAGACAGCCTTCGGTTTCGGCGGCGAAGGGCGCATCCTCTGGCGCAGCCGATGGCAGGCGGTTGAAAGTTTCGCGGCCGAGGGCCCGACGGTGCAAGCGCGGGTCGCTTCTCTTCCCCGCCCCCCGGCCCACTTGCAGTTCCTTCTCCTTCTCCTCCTCCTCCTCCTCCTCTCCAGACCTCTGGCGACTTGGACAAAACCGCGCCAAAAACATCTCAACGTTCGGCGCGTTCCTGGGACTCCGAGACCGTCAACTAACCTACTCGGAATGAGAAGCCGACCCGAAAGGCGGCGACAGAACAAGATCGTGTCGTCGGACGTGCGGGGGCGACACGAAACCCCACGTGATGGCCGCGTATGAGAGCAACTAAGATCAGCGGGGCAGGATAGAAACAGAAGAGAGACCCAGAGCCAACAGCAAAAAACACTGCACAACAGCAAACATCAAACCAACTGGCAAACACAGCACAAAGAAACACGAGGTGGACGGGTAGGTTCAGAACACGGCAAGCAATCGCATGAGTGAGCATGACGCACTGCCATGCACACGTGTTATACAAACTTTCCACCAGCCATCCGGGCGCAATTAGCTTGTTCAGTGCGCGAGCCGCGAGCCTTGCGGAAAAAAATGTTCCCTCCCACGCAAAGATTCACCCCGTTCCTACCTCCTCGCCAGGGTGTTAGACGCGGCCCGACATGAATGTTTAGAGCGTCGAAAATGACCCGCGATGACTTTTGGCCCAGGATGGCATCAAGCCTGGCTCCAAGACGTCTCCAGATGGCCCCAAGATCCAGCCTGGCATCCAGCCTGGCATCCAGGCCCTGAGACGTTTCAAGATGGCTCGGGGTGACGTCTGAGCCCTCAAACAGGCCAGATCATTTCAAAGCCAAAGATTTACAATCTAGCTTGTCGTCTTGTCTGTTTGCTCCCGATTGTGCTCTGAGGCCTCAAGACTGCCCAAGAGAACCTCGACAGAGGCCAATACCCCAACGAGCACCCGAAAAGGGCTTCAAGGGGGCCCCAGGAGATGCTCCGAAGATCACTCTAAGAAGCCCCCACGGGGCATGATCTAGGCAATTTGAAAAGAGATGGTGGGCCTGGTCCTAACTTCGCCGTGACGCGTGCCCCCCTCACCCTTATTCTCTTTCTGATCCTCGAAATATATAATCACGACGACTTGTCTGGAGCGTAAACTTCGGTTCGGGATGGGCTGGTGACAATATGGGTCACCTCAACGATGATAGCACGCATGAAGGACAAACATGATTGACGAATGCGACAAGCAAAAGCCGTTCTAAGAACAGCTGACAGCGCACACACGCAGATACATGGTTGTGATTAAGCCACGTAGAGCCGCAGGCTTCAATGTAATGGTCCCAACAAAGCAAACTGAGGCGGCTCCGAGAGGATAGAGAGCGACTCCTGAGAGAGGCTCTTGAGAGGCTCTTCAGGGGCTCCCGAAAGGCTCTTGATGGGGGTCCTCAGAAGCTCATGGTAGGGCCCGGAGAGGCTCCTGGGAGGGTCATGCAAGACTACGGGGTGCCATGCACCACCATGTTGTACTGTTTCCATGTTCTCGTCTGCAAAAGTAGACGCGGGTGGTATAGTTCAAGTCGCGTTGATAGTCGACAGGCTCTCATGCAGCTTGCATGATTGCCTCGGTATGTCGGGGCAAGTGTCACAGCGCCTGTGTTGATCAGTCAAGAACTTGATGTCGCCGCTTGCGCTCACCACGTGTTCAACCCACATGTCCATCTTTGCCTGATCCAATGCTGCGTTGAGCACCATCGGGAACTCAGGGGCGAGCATAACAGCGTCGCTCACGAGCGCTGGGATGAACCCAGACAAGGTTCCGCTCAAAAATTGTTTGAGGGCTTCGGGAGCCATTTTGTCGATGATGCCTGCTATCGTTGATGGCAACGGGTGCAACTCCTTGTGGTAACCAGTTTTCATTCTCAGGTTGCGCACGTTTATTCTGACTGACTTCGGATACCCATGCAGCACTTTTGGATACGCTTTGATCTCCATCTGCCCGAAAGAGCTCGACATTCTCTCGGGAGTCAAGCCCTTCGCAAGCCCAGGGCTCGCAGAAAGCTCTTTCAAGAACAGCGCCGTCATTCCGTCACTGGCGAGTAGCTTGGGCATGTCAATGCAACCATTGGCGAAAGTTGCATTGCTAGCCGAGTGTCTGCGCTCTACTTCTGACTTTAGCGCGGACACGCAATCTTCTCCACAACTCATCTTTCTGATGCGAAGCTCCCAAAGGCCAGTCGGCACCCGGTGACTTTTCCATCCAGCCTGCAATTTCGAAACGGCCTTTGCTCCGCACAGCGCCTCAGTTAGAAGGTCATCGCGCAAGAGCATCTGCTCTAGAAAGCTCGATTCTTGCAAGAATGTGGCCAACGCATCATTGAACACCTGTGAACGGAACAGACCAATGATGACTCCGCTCGGTGAACTTTGGACCAATGCAGTTACAGCCTGCTGGATAACCCACGGTATCGAGCTCGAGGTGTTTGCTTCAACCTCCATCCAACTCATGCTGGTGTCGTTGCCATGAGGCAGCTGCTGCTCGGGCTGCTTCCACAAAAGGGGCAACTGCTGCTCCAGCCGCTGCTGCTGCTGCTCTGGCAGCTGCTTCAGATCCAATCCCACGCGGTGAATGCGCTCGCCTCCAACCAAGAAGACAGAGCAGCTAAGACAGCTGAGGGAGACAGCGCAGGCGACCCACAACATGGCAGGCAACCACAGACTTGATTGAGAAGCCGAAGTTCGAAGAACAAACAAGAATTGCTATACTGGGGCCCTCGTGGCTACGGAAACGCGCGGCGGCAAACTGAGGGGCGCTTCTCCCAAATCGATGCAACACCTACGCATCAGCCTCTGCCGATGTGACAGAGGCCTCCCCTCTCCCCTGCTCCCCGCTCCCCCCTCCTCGACACGATCCTCGCTTACATTCCGCTTCGTCTCCATCCCCTTCCTGACCCCCCGTTCATTCCTTGCCCTGCCATCCCCTCCCGTCCTCGTCACCAATCCGCGTCGCCCTCGTTTTCACTGTTGCCCCTGGCCTCCCCCTTCCACCTGCTCCTCCCGCTCCTCTCCCCGTCCTGACCCGCTCTTCCTCCAGCCCCATACCGTACCATTCCTTGCGATAGTCCTCCCCCCATACTCCGCACTCCCTGTCAGATCGAATTCGGTTTGCCTCGCCTTCTGTGATTTGGCCACTCCCCCTCGTCCCTTGTGGCGCTCCCGAGGGGGGGGGGGAGCGTAACTAGAGCGCCCAATTATGTTTGATCGATCTCCTCTAAGATGGCCCTAAGAGCGCTCCCAAGGCTCCCAAGAGCGCCTCAAGAGGGCTTCAAGAGGCCTCCAAGAGGCTCCCAAGGGCCCGAAACAGAAGAGCGTGCCACATAGTACGGCTATTTCAAATCTTGGGGCACCTGATTGCCACACGTCACGGCTTCCTGCGCAACCCAGATTTCGGGAGCGGCCAAGAGGGGGGTGTCCAAGAAGGGGGGTGCAAATCATGACCGGCGGCATGTGGCATGTGCGCGGCCCAGCGGGGGGGCCAGGGACGTAATGAAATAAGAAGAGGCGCCATGAGATCTGGGGAACTATCATGGCCCCGCCATGATATCCCCCCCCCCTAGTCATCACCCCCTTGCTGGGCTGGCACGGTGCCGGGACTTCCAGCGGGCAGCTGGCGATCCTCATCTCCCGTCTCTGCCCCGAAGCTGCCCTGTGTGCGGGCCGCCGCCTCTCCTGCGCACTGCTCGCCACACGCAACAAAAACTGGAGGCGCAGACTGTCAGTCAGCTTGGCTCTCTTCGATGAAGGGGCCCCAGGAAACACACAAATAAATACACACATATAAAAAAAATCACCACATTTTTCCATATGTTCTGGGTTTTTGTCTTTCCCCCCACTTCCCATATTTTTCCTATATTTTCTTGAGGATCGACGATTAATTGTGTCTGTGTGCTTCTTTCCCTCCTGATTCGACCTGGCTGCTCGGGGGCGACGTGACACTCGCAGCACCACTTGCAGGGAGTCTGCCGTAGGTTCGCGAGCACATCTTTCACCTCCGACGCCTGGCACTCCCATGAGCACTTCGCCCGTTCCGCACGTCGCGTTCGAGCACTTCCCGCCCATCTCGCCGGCGCCCGTTCCGCTCCCCGGCCACGCACCTCGCGCACTTGCGTGGAGACACCAGGGAGAGGCTCGCCCGCGGCGCGGGAGCGGGCGAAGTGCTGGAGCCTGAGCTGGCGGCGCCAGGGACGCCAGAGGCGGCCGCGGCCCGTGGCCTCCAGTGGTGGGGGGGGGAACAACAACATACAGTCGAGGCGTTGACCTAATTACGGAACCCTGAATAAGGAACGAGGCCCCTTTTCCCCATAAGTTCAACCTCGATTTCCCATGGAAAACCTCTGGAAAACCCGCGGCAACTTATGAAGCAATCAAGGAACACCGAGCCCCTCCCAAACGAAAAGGGTTCCTTCTTCCGGGCCCCGACTGTACACCCCAGCTCTTGCAGCTCCGCGCGGGTTTCCTGGATCGGCGCTGGGCCCCCGCGCGGGCCACGTTTAGCTCTCGTCGCTGATGCTCCCGTTGTTCAGGGTGCCGCTCTCGCCCCAGCGCGGGCCACACTTCTGGAGCCTCCTCCTCCTCCTCCACCTCCCTCCCTCCCTCCCTCCCTCCCTCCCACTCCTCCTGCTCCTCCTCCTCTCCCTTCTCCCTCCCTCCCTCCCTCCCTCCCTCCCTCCCTCCTCCTTCTGTTCATCTGCTTTCTCCTCCTCATCCTCCTGCTCATCCGCCACCTCGTCGATCTCCAATGGGCAAAGTCCCCTTCCGGGGCGGGGATCATCTTCCAGCATTTGGGGTACACCTCAGTCGGCGGATGCAACACATCGCAATTGGAAGGGCTGGGCATTGGGGATATGATGTCAGATGTGGCGCGGGCGCACCCAGCTTGACGTCCTCCCATCTGCCCCTCCTTCTCCTCCCCTCCGCCGCCCCCTGCGTCACCTCTGCCTCCGCCCAAACACCCCCTCTCGGCGCCCGCCGATGGACTTATCCACGTCATTGTCGACCGACAGCCGCCAGCCAGATGCCCAGCCCGCCATGTGCCCAAACTGCGCCTGATAGGCCGGGGCGCGGCGGGGCCGATGGGATGAGGATGGAGAGGAAAAGGACGGGGGTGGGTTCCGTAGTGGCGGGAGGGCCACGAGTGGGCATGGCCTCGCCAACCTGCCCCGCCCTCCTGGCCCGTCCGCTCGCCCGCGCTCCTGCCCGCCACCTTCTTCCGCCCCGTCGCCTCGCCTCCTCTCGCGGGGGCAAGCATGCCGGGGGGCATCGCGACGCGAGGGAGGGAACGAACGACCTCGTCGGCGCCCGCCGCCCCTCTGGCCATCGCTCGGACGTCCATTTCCTGTGTTTGTTGGTTTCGTGCGTGGTTTTTTCGCCAAATGATCAAGGATGCTTCTCGATGATCCTCGCCGAAAGAGAAATGCACACGTCCAAGCAATGCCAAGCCCTGGCGTTGGCCAATGGCGGCCGCGGACCACCTGGCCACAGGCTCTTCTGCCTTGTCTCGCGGACAGAGGGCGCCCGGCGCGGACGCTAGTGCCCCGGCGCGGCGCCGACTTAGTGGGGCACCTCTGGGAGCTGAGCGATCCGACGCGCAACTGCCGCAGCTGGCAAGGCGAATTGAGCTTCGCTGCCCAGCAACAGAGGTCCCCACCCACCTCTCCCACCGCGCAACGCCGCTGCTGGGCGCCCCCGGCCGTGGCACCTGGACCCCAGACTCTTCTCCTCCTCGTTGGACTGCTACTCCAGTGCAGCGAGGGTGGGGGGCAGATGGGCGGGGGCTATGAGGCAACGAGAGGTCACCGCCGCCGCAGGCCGCCCTTGGCCATGGCATAATCAGGGCGGACGAGGACCACATTGAGCAGTCTGACGCCGCTCACCGACCTGCACGCAGCATTCCCCCCTCCCCTCCTCCCCTCTCTGCACTTGAGATTTACTCGCACGCCTGAGTCGCCAGCCGTTTCGCAGCTCCTCCTGCCAATCCCGTTCCCGAGGCGCCACCTACGGTTTCCTACGTCTTCTTCCGCCGCCACCCCCCCCATCCCAAGGAACGAAAGCCGCTGGTGGAGGCACGGCTGCACCCAGGCCACATGGGAAGAAAAGGGAGAGGGAGCATCCCCACCCTCCCACATCCTGCTCCACCACTCCTTCCGTCTCCTCCCCCGTCCTTTATCTCTCCGTATTACTTCCCCCTCCCCTCCCCACTCTCCTTCCTCGCCCTCCTCCCCTTCGTCCCGAACCCCGCTGGCGTGGGGCGGGGTGTCACCGGCCAGCGCTCCATGTTGTGGTGCTGGTGGCTGTCCTGACCAGCGGGAGCCAGAATCGGAATCGGAAGCCATCGACATCGAATCGAATCGAATCGGAGGAATCGAAACGAACCCCTTGGGAAAGGGGGGGGTCGTGTTAGGGTTGGGGCCTCGCGGGCGCCTTTGTCGAAACAACGCTGCGTAGCACTCGGGCGTCGTCTCCGCGGCAAGCGAAACAAGGCCACACCAGACTTGTAGGAGGACGCAGAGTGTTCCCTGTTCCCCCGGTGGAACACCGAACGTGCCGTCTGCTGTGGAGGACGGAGGACGGGGAGGAGCGGAAGCAAGAGAGGAAGTTTTGAAGAAGGGATGGAAGGGCCTGGGCTGGGATGGGCGAAGACAGGACGTGTAGTCTCGGTTGGGGCCTCGTGGTAACCCCGTCTCGGGTCGACGGGCCGTCAAGAAACGGCTCGGGATCAAAAGCTGGCCCCGCAGAAGGTGGTCGAACAGATCGGGCCCCCGCGCGACGAAAAAAACATTGCGACTCCGGCGCTTGGGAAACGGGAAGAAAAATAGGAGGCGAGAGGAGAGAGAAGGGAGGGGCAGGAAAAGGAGGGGGGAGGAGGTGGACGACGACCCAGCTGGCGGCCGCGAACCTCCTGCTTGACGGGCGCTGAATACCGGCGGCTTGCTACCAGCCGTTCCTCGACCTCGGGCGACTTCGCCCCCGCGAAGACTGTGGCGACCCCGGCTGCCCACAAGTCCCCCCTTGCCTGACTGCGCGCCAACGCGTGCTTGACAATGGCAGACATGGTTGCTTCCTGCTTTCGGTTGAATCGTGCTTCTTGAAGGCTACCGAGCCTCTTGCTCCGATCGTTTCGGGCCTGGCGTGGCTTAGCTCCTTTTCCTCCGGGTCCCTCGTCTTTGTCGTCGGCGGTCTTGGCCCGCCCAGCAGCTCGAGGCTCGTCGGGCTCAACGGCGGCCGGGCGCTTTTTGCGCCCGAGACGGGGTGGCAGACGCCGTCGCGAGGGGCAGGGGCCGGCGGACAGTGCTCGTCTCGGATATGTGTCTGTAGCTGGTCAAGATTGGGCCTCTGAGATGCGTTGCAGATAGGGCAGGTGAGCGGTGCGGCGACGGTCGGATGCGCAGCGCGAGCAGAATTAACATTGCAAGTCCCAGCGCGATAAGCAGTAATTGAGCCGATCGCCGACATGCGAACGTTTGCAGTCAGCGCGGGCACTGGTCGGTCACGACGGAATTCAGCAAGTTCGAGGTCTTGCATTGGGTGCCGCCTTTAGAATTGCCGAAGCCTGGCGAGACGGAAGCGAGGCCCCTCAAAAGCGACCTTGATCAGGTAGCTGGACACAACGATGTCGAAGTGCAGCGCCCCCCCACCCCTCATATTCTTCTGCGCGCGGCATAGGCGCCAAGTCGATGCGGGGCCCAGCCTTCCGAATCTCCCAGGTCTCACGAGAAACTAATAGCGGGCGCCGT